CTAGAAAACTACCCCACACCAAAAATCCTTTTCTTTGAGAAAAGTGGGGGAGGGTAAATGAGTTCTCGGTTTCGTTTCCTCTATTTTCTTTGAAATGCATTATTTGAAAAAGTAAGGTTTACTAAAACAAAAAGAAGTAATCAGTAAGTAAGTGTCTATGCGAGGGTTGGGGTTATAGGTGGGTTGGAGATAGGGGCTTTGAATGAAAAAAAAAAATAAATTCAATGCTAAATCAGCAACATTTCTACACTATACTGAAAACAAAAGGCTGTTACTAGGGCCTGCTGATATGATATGGGATTGTTTTGAATGTATCTCAATGAAATAAAAAGCGGGTAAATTAAAAAAATCATTTCAAATAAACCCTAACAAAAAAATTCTATAGTAAACTATAGTTAACTATAGTTTACTATAGTTAACTATAGTAAATCAAAGTTCCAAAGTTTTTACTATAGTAAATCAAAGTTCCAAAGTTTTTAATATGGTTAATTAAAGCTTCAAAGTTTTCCCTATTCTTAATCAAAGTTTCAAAGTTTTTTTCATTAGTTTAACAACTTATGTATTTTTATTATTTTTTATTATTATTTAGCCATTGTAGGGGAGGGGGTGGTTGGGGCTGGGTTTATTTTGTACATCTTTCTTCAAATATACAATGTAGTTGATTCAAATGAAATATTTCCATTTATAAATTTAAAGAAAATCATGTTGACTGAAACTGATGAAGCAGATATATTGATTCAAAATGACACACTTTTTTTATAATATATTATTTTTTTCTCCATAAATAAGACTTACGTTACATCTGCATAACATTAAAATAAAATACATTGAAATAAATATTGCTTATTTATCGGCGCAAGCGACAATCTTTACATTAAAATTCATATCTTGTACATTATTCTTTTAGGGGAGGGCTCGGGTTTTTAAAATGTTCTCTAAAGATTTTATGAATCTTAATCTTGAAATATCATAAAATGTAAAGAATGGGAATCAAAAACATAATTCCACGGGATTTATCGTACTTAATCAAAGTTTCAAAGTTTTTACTATACTAAATCAAGGTTCCAAAGTTTTCACTATAGTAAATCAAAGTTCCAAAGTTTTCACTATAGTAAATCAAAGTTCCAAAGTTTTTACTTTGGTACTATAGTTAACTATAGTAAACTATAGTTAACTATAGTTTACTATAGTATTTTTTTGTTAGGGAATGTTGTAATTTCTACCGAGCTTTTATTATTTGAGGCAAATTATGAACATATTACTCTACTGCAATATGCATGCTAAATGACAGAGAATTTAATTATTTTCTATGAATTGCATTGTATATTTGACATATACTAGGTATATAAATTTTCTTTCATAAAAATGTATGTCAGAAAAGTAACTTCAAATTAATTTTTTAACCTCACGTAAACTAACGTCATTTTGACGTCACCGAAATTGACACCAACACCGTGTGCGACGTCAAACACAATAAATCAAAATGAAATAGTTCCCGTTTACAATATTTTGGCTCGTTATTATATTTTGCGTTGTAAGAATGTCCGCTCCTCAGGCAGAGACAATAAATCAAAAAGATAATTCTTAGATATACCTTTTGATCAATTTTCATTTAGATGATTGGTGCTTTAATGCTCGTTTCTGGAAAATATATTTGAGATTTGATACTTTTTCCCCGTAGAATATTATTAACTTAAATGATGAACTTTGAAGAGTTAACATGGGCATTAACACATTACTTTATGAATTCAGTGATTTTTTGCGAGCATTTGCATTCGTATAACTGCCAACTCTTAGGACTTGAGAAAAGGAGAACCTTAATTACAAGTATAAATTATCAACACATTTACGTTTGAAATATATTTACGAAGAAATTTTGATTGCGTATTTTTTCACACAAAGCGTCAGCAATACTTTTTGTTTACTATTCAATCGAGAATACACTGTATTTGTTATCAGGATACACTGTATTTGTTATCAGAATACACTGTATTTGTTATCAGGATACACTGTATTTGTTATCAGAATACACTGTATTTGTTATCAGAATACACTGTATTTGTTATCAGGATACACTGTATTTGTTATCAGAATACACTGTATTTGTTATCAGGATACAGTAAATAAATGAGAAGATCAAGTGCAATTAGCCACACTGTTTCCTTGTGTCACGTCAGACATTAAATGGATTACAAAAGTTTTATGTATTTTTTCCTTTGTTTAACCAAGCTGTGACAATTGATTCATAACGAAGACTCTTCAGAAATGCTCAAAAATAATTTAAAACGCATTTTATACACATGAAAATATGACTTGTCGCACAGGAGGAGTCGTATTTTTCAGCTGTTACTTGCACCCTACCGCTCTGTAAAATATAAATTTCAGAATGTATCTGTCAGTAACAAAAGGATATCAAGGTAGATACAACTAAAGTGCCATTTTAATTTGTCAGTAGGCTTTGTAAGTACTCTATTTTTTATGTACGTTGCATTTAAATTATACGAGGGTTGTCCCGAAAAGACAATATTTATATCTTAGTAAGTTGTAAACAATCAACCAGTGCTAACCAATTTTTAGTTTCCTTAAAATAATGAATTCTTAAATACCCCGGTACATATCTTTCATAGTTATTATAATATGACGATTTATATGAGGACCGAAATGGTCTGTAGGCACACGGACAAAATCCGAATAATTTACGTAGGTAATTATTACTATTCCAGTACTGTTGCCTTTGTTTCTCTCGTAATATGCAAAACATTAAACTTTATTTTATATGTGTGAAACTAGAAACAAAATAAACAAAATCTTAGTTATATGTCAAATTTTCACATAAATAGCATCAGAGACAGAGGATTTGTGTTATAATTTTCAAAGTGATGTTGAAATAGAGTTTTCTGCAAATGATGTCGTGAAACGCGCAAGCCGAGCAAGGGGGATTTAACAAAATTGTTTTCTATGTGGTTTGTCCACTCTAGGAACGGAGAAAAAAGATACAGAAGAGACATTACGTACTACATGGATAGTAGAGAAGTTATTTTTATTCAAGGAAAATTTTCATTCCGTACAGAAAATGGTTACGCCTAAATAAAGTTCTAATTGTTAAATTCAGTCGGTGAGGAAACGTGATGGGCCACGATTGCCGTTACGTCAACCTTTTCATATTCTCTGCTACCAACAATTTAAGGTGACCTTTCGTGGACTAAATTTTTAATCTGAAAAAAAAAACAAAAACATGGACAGTGGTGAATTTAATGAGTCCCTTGGTCAAAAGTGGTTTTCCACTTTAAAACAAATAATGAGATGTTTTAGAGACGCATGCTAAGCACACAAGATAGTACTTGAAAAATAATCATAACGTTATAAAAGACGCTTGCTTTCGTGCGAATATGTACACTTGTTTGCTTTCTTCTTTCTTACATTATTTTCTTTTGAAATGCGGTATTATGATGAAGCTTGAAATTCATTGTCATAAAATGTTTCTTTTCACAATGGCAAGAAAAGAAATTAAATTTAGGAAAGAAAAACTAAATTGTTTCTGTCTACGAATTTTTGGGACAACCCTCGTATTTGACTCTTTGCTTGTGTCTTTGTGTTGGATATTTATGAGGTTGAACCCACGGCATGGTGGATTTTGCTAATTGCATCTTAACTAATTACATGTCCCCGGTATTATAATGCATCACATCCCAGTTGATTCGATAAGCAAGAGCATACTCTACGTACGAACACTTTCTAAACAAAGAGAATAAGTTTATGAAACAAGAATATCAACAGTCTCGTTTAAAGACAACATTTTGCAAAGTCTATGGTCATTACAATAACCTTGTCAGCAAATGCAATATATAATTAAGTTGAATGTTGATGACGTTTTTTATACAAATTATTAGGGCATTATTTTCACTTAAATGTCTACGGATTTTCTTTTTTGTCTGATCATGACAAGGAGCACACAGCTGGTCTTACCGGTCGACAGGGGATGCTTATATACTCCTCCATGGCACCTGACCCCAAGTCTGATGTTTCAGATGTCCTTGTTTGCTCTGCTCCAAATTTATATTGTTTCAATTGACTTCTAAGCTTTATTAGCGTTTGTTGTCTTCATAATTCCTCAAAATTTAGACTGAACGTTTTCTTTTACTTGCTTTCGGACACTTGCATAAAACTTCTCTTCTGACCAAATGTTCTACTATAAACATGTGGACAGAATATGGAATCATAAATTAATTTTGTATTGTAAGTGGTTATAACTTTCTTCGTTTTTAACGGGAAACCCCCCCCCCCCCCCGAAATTCAGAGTATATGTACAGGTTCCTACATTATGGTATAATCAGAAATGAATACTAGTACACAGTGCATCCATGTGTAATGAACTGAAAGTAACGAAATTGGAAAATGACATCAGCCACTCTAGGCACTTTAGATTTAAATAATATTTAAATTCATTTTGCGAAAAATAGAATCAATTGAATCTATAAACTTTATTACAATATTAACAACATTTTAAGACTGGTCTGTGCACACCTTCCGATCCTATAGGACTGCGATTTTTACATGAAATTTAAATTCATCTGAACCTAAATATTTTGACGTGGATTTTGCAAGGAACATTGTAGTACATATACACAATATGTCTATAATAAGATATTAGACCATTAAAAATGATGAAAACGCATTTCTCCTCGAACGTTTTGGGCAGCCCTCGTATGTACCGGTATATACTTTAAGTTATAAATTTAATTTGATTAAACAGAATGTATGTAAGGATACAAATTGAAAGGTTGAGGCTTTAAAAAATTGTTTTTAGAATGATGTTTGGGCAAAATAATAGTGTTCTGAAAACAGTCTGCATGAATGTTGTATTTTTTGTGTCAATGCTTTTATTAACAACAAATACGTTTTGTTTCAAAATCTATTCGTCATTACAGATTCTTAAAAAAATGTGGACTTTGTTTCTTTTTCTGGTGTTTTCTTTTAAACCCCACACTTTCTTGCAAGTAATGGCATTTTCCTCGCCCTCTGGCTTTATCGAAGACTTCAATGGGTATATGGACGTTTGTCAACATTTTGGATGGGAGCCAAAAAAAGGTATTGTTTGTATTCAAGTATAAGCTATTCTATGGTTAGATATTACTTTTTATCCTAATCGCTGTGGGTTGTTCATTAAAAAAAGAGTGGAAAAAAAATCATATCTATCCACAAACCATGGGAGATTCTTTTATCACATGTTTTACACATAGCTATCACATGTTTTACACTCTTTATGAGCTATGTCCACAGAATGTGATAAATATAGGATCTCCGATGGTTTGTGGTTGGATATGATTTTTTATCCGATGAGTTGTGATTTTTTTTTATCTAAAGACACAACAAAATGCATAAAAAGTCATATTTAACCACCAACCATGGGAGAGTCTTTTTATTTCATGTTTTACACATAGTTATCACATGTTTTAAATATATAAATCCACAATAATTGATTTGATCGAATTCACGCAAAACCATTGTGACATAACAACCGTGAATTTGAAAACGATATCCTACGAGCTATATCCACTTTATAAAGGAGTAATATGTGATAAATATTAATAAAACGTTGTTTAGGCATTTATGGTCTTTGTAAAGATTGCTATAAAATATACAAAGTTTTATTAATTATCAGGCTGTTCTCAAATTGGCCAAATTATTGCCTTCCATGCAGCTATAAAATCCCATCTCCGGAACGTTCCTGTAAACACAACAATAAAATTCGATGATGTTTTTCTGAACAAAGGAAACGGGTATAATCCCGACACAGGTGTCTTTACGGCACCAGAGGACGGCGTTTACTTCTTCGAGTGGACATTTATTTCAACCAGGAAATCAACAGTTTACGTAGAGGCAGTGGTAGATGGTACACGGAAAGCATCGACTTGTGTGAATGATCAACAGAGTTATCATGTCAGTACCTCAGGACATTTGCTTTATGAACTGAAGAAAGGAAACAAAGTCTGGATCAGAACATTTTTTGTGACGGCTGGGTACATGCACGCTGATAAGTACACTTATTTCTCGGGATACAAGATAAGCAAATTCTAATTAGCAGGTACATTGTACAAAATATGTTTCTGTATGTTATTGAGCTCAATCAAGTCATTATTCAAATTCCTTCTGATTTGATTTTCTTACGTTAAGGAAATATGAATATATATTACAAAACTTTGGATTCTGCAAATAAATTTTTACTACTCAGATATGCATGTATATGGATTTCATAACATAAGATGTCAATACATTTTGAAGTGATGTGGGTACATGTAAATTGCATAAACATTGCATAAACATAATAGTCTTTAAAAGGGGCATTAAATATGACCTAATTAAAGGAAATCATATCAATCCGCCAAGCCAAATGAATCAAATGACAGTGATGTTATTCAAACTTTATACAATTTGTATAAAATTTGGACACCTTACACTGAAAGTTTGAAGACAGATGTCAACAAACCTTTTTATCTATTTTCTTTCAAAAAAACATCAGCTTCAAAATATAACCTTAGATTGAGGCTGGTCTTTTATTTCAATTGATTAGGGAAAACATTCAGAGAAATGCACTTAGGTACGTTGCATGTATAATGATCTGACAACCTAGAATAAAGGTAAGGTAAAGGTATTATATATATTCTTCAAAACAAATGTGAAGTCTCGAAAGATCAGATTGACTGATTGTTCAACGCCAAGTCAGCAGTGTTTCAGCCATATTTTGGGGTATCAATATATGCAATAAAACTATCAAACTAAATACAAATTATTTGCTCAAAAGTTAAGTTCGATTCTATATTCTTTTTTAAAAATATTATTTTTCTATGCATCCGAGTAAAGGTTTGGAATGGCAAATAAAGTGAATAACATAATTCAAACACGTTAGAGTTAGATTTTTTATACAAATAAAGTTTAAATTGAATTTCTAATACCCATGATATTTTATAGTCAATTCTATGGTGGCATATTTCTGCCCCCTACTTGGAAGATGAATTTTGTTAACAAGCAAGAAAAGTATGTCAACATGCAAGATAAATATGTTAACATGCAAAATAATTATGTTGACATGTGACTTATTCATGTCAACATGCAAGATAATTATTTTAACATGCAACTTATGTATGTCAACATGCGACTTATTTATGTCAACATGCAACTTATTTATGTCAACTTGCGACTTATTATGCCAACATGCGAGTTATATCTTAACATGCAAGGTATTTATGTCAACATGCAAGTTATAAGTTGCATGTTAACATACATATCTCGCATATTGACATAATTAACTCGCATGTTATCAAAATTATCTTGCATGTTGACATAAATAAGTTGCATGTCTACATAATTATCTAGCATGTTAAGATAAATAAGTCGCATGTCAACATAATCTTGTTGTATCTTGCATGTATGATGTCATATAATGGCGTTAGTAAGTCAGTTTACCAATATCAAAATAATATTCTCTAAAGAGATTGGTAACTTGCATGTCAACATAATTTTTTGCATGTTGACATAAATAAGTCGCATGTCTACATAATTATGTTGCATGTTAACATAATTTATCTTGCATGTAGGGGGCAGAAATATGCAACCATACAATTCAGATTGTGACGTCAGATTTTAACATCAAGGCTTCATATTTCTTGAAGAAATAAACAACATAAAAAGCATCGGTAAAGGGCATATTCTTCTTTATTTGACATAAAGATATGGAATATTCCAAAGATTTATGTTACATGTGTATTACTGTACAGTGTCTACAGTTTGCATGGTAGGATATTTTTTGTGGTGTTTGAGTTGAAACATGGTAAAATGCATAGCCCAGCGCACGTTTCTCTCATTTCTGATCAAGAGATCAACGATTCTATTTTTCTATGGCTATATTTATTGTACTCCTTTACTGCCACTTTTAGCTATTTTTGGAAGTTATTTTTTACAGTTTATAAATTTTTAAACTTCAAATACCTATTATAAAAATTGTTTTCTTATATTTAGTAAAACAACAACAACTCATTTTATCGGTATATAAAAACTTTACGGGTACCTTGATTAGGATCCAATATTTCAGATTGAAATGATTATAATACTTTTTTCAAAAATGCTTTTCTCCCCTATGCCCTTAGTAATTTTGGATATCGGCCTGTGAAATGTAGAAACAACGTACCCACTTTGAATTCATTTCGGAAAGGACTTTTAAAATTATGGACAAGATACGACTTCAATGTATATATATCATTTACCGGCCAGCGATCTCAACTATACTAAAATTGCTCAATGATCTTGAATCTAAAGAATGACACACTTGTTTACATGTAACAATATAAATTAATTGCAATGGAGAATTTATTTTCTTATAACATAGTATGGATCTATTCTTTTGCAAAATTTTCAGAATAAAAAAGTAAAAAAAAATATAAATCATTTACGGATACTCCTGCAAGTCTAAACGATTCATGCCCTGCACTAACTAGGTATATTGATATTGAACTAAGGCATTGTTATTTCCTCAGTTTATTATAAGTTAATAGGATATTTTCCTTTAAATTTTGCAGAGAGTTAAGGATGGCAGTGAAAAAAAAAATCTGTATCTTCATGCAACCTCAAAATTTCATAAAATCATTTTTATTCTAAGTTGCAATTCTCCCCTGATGTTACTCTACGGTTTCGATCGATTTCTTAGATATTGAGATACAGAGATATAGACAGACAACTTCTATGGTGAAGGTACATGTAAAAAAAGTCAATAAAGTCATTTTAATAAAGTATGGCATTTTTAAGAAGTACGCTAATTGTTGGATTTTTGAAAAAAAATTGTTATATGTTACATTATTAGCAAGAAATCGTTTAAAACAAGCATTTCCGAAAATAAAGAAATGTTTAAATATGACAAAGCAAAATACCTTCCACTTTTCACGTTTATGAATCAAAGTAATTTAGAGACTTTTCTGACCTTAACATTGGATATCTATAGTATGCATCGGATGATATTTGACCCGCGTAAAATGATGGGTACCTTAGATTAAGAGTACTTGTTAAATATCTCAGTGGACCATATGCGTCACCTCTCAGAACTATCCAGGTATGACATAGTAATTATATTTGTTATATGATTGAATAATTTCTAGCATTCAGATTAGCTGAGATCCAACAATGTAGAAAAAATACCACGCTGTTTTCACCTGTAAGTAACCTTCCAGGTAAACATAAGAATTTATTTTTTCTAAATTGGACTAAAAAAGATTGAAAGATTCCAATCTGATACAAATAGTTCTAAAATGTTATTTCACATGCACCCGACTTCCACGCGGTGAGCATTTTCAAGCAAATGTATTATATTTTGATAATCCACTTTCTTTAATGGAATTTGATAGTACAAACGAAAAAAAGTTAAAATGAAATATGAAATGAATTGTAATGTGGAAAACATGTAACTTCGCAAACAGATTTGTTTCAATAATGAAATTATTATCTATATGAACATATTATTAGTTATCCAGGTCCAAATAAGGGTGTACGGGGATTTTCCTGGGTCTTATTCCATACACCCTAAGGTCGAAATAAACCAAATAAATTCTTGTAAACCAGAAGTCCGAACAATGGTGTTTCAAACTATCGATAAGATTTACTACGAGCAAAAATGCCGTAATTGTTGTCGTCAAGTTATTTGCTTTTGTGATAGAGAAACAATGCATTGTGACGTCATATTATTTACCACTGGGTCAAGCCGGGTTTACGGAAATTTACACAAAGCTTACAAACCAATCAAATCTCGTGTTACAAGCTACATAGGAAATAACTTCATGTTCCTTCTCTTGCAATCACAATACCTTTTCAAAAAAAGCGTCGAATGACTAAAAACATTTTTTTCATTCAAGGTAGAACTAAAAGTTTTGTTTATAATTTTAGTTATGTAAAAGGTAAAGATAAGGAAGAGTGATAGATTTACAATCCACAATCAATACAAATATGTGAAGAGGACATAAAACACGGACCCCTGGAAATTCCAGAGGTGGGATCAGGTGCCTAGGAGGAGTAAGCATCCTCTGTCGATCGTTCACATACGCCGTGAGCCTGTGTATTGATTGGGTAGACGGAACTATCCGTAATCAATTCAGTACAAAAACAAAGGTCTAACAATTGGTATGAAACAAGTCAGCCAAAATACGAAAAGTCGTAAGTTTTGATGTAAAAAACTATTGAAAAATGTGATGATTTTAAAGTTTCTTCAAGTTCTTTTGAGTTTTTAGAATCCACATCTGATTAACACCACTTCTAGAATAAGCTGTAGCACAGCACGTCTGATGTTTCTCCATTACAACAGTTAATATTTTTGAAAGGAGTAAAGATAAGGGCTTGGTAGAGCATTTGCTGGACCCAGCAATGTATCTTTGTTTATAAGGATTTTTATGAAGTTTAGGAATCAAGTAAAAGTAGGACTGATCGAACTAACCTAGATTGACTCGTATATTAAAAAAAACTAATAAACACTTAAATATGATTTTGAAGAATTTCTTCTTTGGAAAGTGAACTGTGAGTATATGTTGGATTTCCAGACGTAGAATCAAAACCAGGTTCTTCCAAAATACAGTTATTATAAGGACCCTTACTGTCACAACACCCTATGGCTTCATCAGTGATAACAATATTTTTTTATTTACAATTTTATATAAATACAAGATGTGTTTGTGAAACACTTATGCCCCCGTATGGCAACTTATAGTGAAGGTTAAACTTTCTCAAATGAGAATCAAATATGTTGGTACCCAAAGTAAGTTCATGTCTCGAGGAATATACCTGTGAAATATGAAAGCCCTAGCAGCAACCATTGAATATATATGGAAAAGGTAAAAAAAAAATTCAAAGGTAAGTCAAACATCAAGGTCAAGATCAAAATTAATGATGCCCAATGAAAGGCCTTCTCACAAAAATTACACATGTGAAATATGAAAGCCCTAGCACTAACCGTTCTAAAGATATGGTAAAGTTTAAAGTTTATCAAAAGTAGGTCAAACTCCAAGGTCAAGGTCAAAAAGTCAAAGTTGTTGGTATCCAAAGTA